CAAGACAAATTTTCCCAACTGAGGCTACTGACCCTGGGCAGAGAACATTGACCATGGAGTAAAGGGTAACCTTCAGTGGTGGGCAATGCCCCTAAGGTCAGAGAAGTAACATCAGAGTTATGTGGTCCCAGCCTGAGGGAGGAGGTGAATGAACACCGAGGAAAATGACTCTAGAATTAAAGAGTAACCTTCGACACCAGAATTGAGGGTGACCTGAGGGAGGCTGAGGGAAGACAACCCTGGAGATAAAGGGGACCTTAATCTGGCAGGGGAGGAACTCTCAAGTTGAGGGTGACTATAGGCTAAAGACAGTAACTCTGGAGTTAAGGGTGACCCAAGGCTGAGGGTGGTGAGCCTGAGATGAAGAAAAGGACCTTGGAATTAAGGGTAACTTTAGGTTGAGAACAGTGACCTCTGAATTCAAAGTGATTGCGGGCTGAGGGAGGCTTACCCTGGGCAGAAGGAAGTGATTCCAGAGTTAAGCATGAAATGTAGGCTGGCAGGAGGGCCCTCAGAGCAGAAGATGAGCCCACGCTAAAGCTGGTGGGTCTTGATCCTGGCTCTGTCTCTTCAGATTACACCTATTTCTACAAGGGCCGGGATTACTGGAAGTTTGATAACCAGAAGCTGAGTGTGGAACCTGGTTACCCCCGCTCCATCCTGCGGGACTGGATGGGTTGTAACCAGAAGGAGGTGGAGAGAAGGAAGGAGCGGCGCAGGCCCCAGGACGACGTGGACATCATGGTTACCATAGATGATGTGCCTGGTTCAGTGAATGCTGTGGCCGTCATCATCCCCTGTACCCTATCCCTCTGCATCCTTGTCCTTGTCTACACCATATTCCAGTTTAAGAACAAGGGGGCACGACAGCAGGTCACCTACTACAAACGGCCAGTCCAAGAGTGGGTATGACCAGCACGTCCTTGCCCCGCCAGCCGGGGCATCCTTGCCAGGGCCTGAGACAGGGCAGGGACCTCACTCCCAGGACCCAGAGGAGCAGGGGGGCGCCACAAGGGCCCGGACCAAGAGCCACAAGCAATAGGTTTGCAACTGCAGCCTAAAGCTTGGCCCTTGGAATCCACCTGGTAAGAGAGGAGTGGGAGAAGTCAGCCAGAGGTAATCCCCAAGCACCTACCCCCACTTGGACCCAAAGCTCCCTTTTTAAAATGCCTTTGATCCAAAGGGAAAGGCAAAAGATAGCTTTCGCTGAGGAGAGCTCTGTGGGGGGAGAAGGCCTCTGCTCTTGTTGCCTCATAGCTGTCCCTCATTCCCAGGGGCTGGAACCCCAATTATCAGGGGCCTCTCCTGGGATTCCCAAAGGCCCTCTGAGCACAGTTCATCCGGGAGAAACCAGCATTTGCTCCCTGACAGCTGCCTGGGCCGGTCATTCCTCTTCTGAGGGACCTGACTCCAGGTGTCCCTGGGTATGGCAGGATCCCATGATCTTAGGGTGAGGATCATGGCCTGGGGCAGGATCAGCTGCTTGCCTCCTCCCTTGTGCTGCAAACCTGGGCACTGTCTGGCTACCGACTCCCAACACCTGCTGGTCAGATGTTTGTAACTGATCATGGATCACAGAGCCTGTGTGGCTATGGAGGAAAGGCTGTCTGTGGGCAAGGAAGGTGTTTTTGTGACCACCCCCCACACCCAAGCAGCTTCCTCAGAAAACCGAAGTTTCCCCTGGGCCAATGAGAGGCAGGGGCCTCGTGCTCAGGGGAAGCCTGTGGTTCAGCCTCATCTCTGCTGGACTTTGCTCTCATGTCACGAATATTTAAATGTCCCATTACTATTGTTTTAATCCCCATTTGACAGAAGTGATTCCCTGAGGACTCGGGAAGCTGTCTGTTCATCTGACTCCAATGTACACCAGTGTAAGAGCCTCTACCCCAGAGCACCAAAGCCAAGGCCCCACTAAGATGAGGGAAGCCAGGTAGTATCTTGGTGCCCTAGGAGAACAGGGATGGATCAAGAGTGAGGGGATGAGCTTCTTTGGGGGCCCAGGAACCTTTGGATATTAACCACTGGAGCCCCTTGGGACTCTGGCCACAGGGGTGGGAAGCTAGGCTAGTAGCCCCAGCTCACTCCTTGCTAAGAATCTAGGGCCATAGTGGAGACATTGAAGGCCAAGAACCAGAAAGATACCTAGCCTTGGATGGTTGGAGAGAGGTTAGATCCCCAGAATTGAGAGATTTTTTGAACTCCCATCCTCAGTCCCATTGCTAAACCCTTCCCACTTTTACTTCCAGTGTGGTCCCTATCTAGTGATAGGCCCCAGCCCCATCCACTTCTCACTTCCTTTCCATTTCCCACTGCCAGAAGAGGCAACTGGTATAGCAGTAGAAAGAGCATTGGATTTGAAGTCATGAAGTCAAGAGAGCCTGGGTTTGAATCCTGACTCCGCTACTTTCTTACTATGTGACTTAGGTAAGGCCACTTCTCATCTCGGCCTGTTTCCTCAACTATAAAATGAGAGGGTTGATCTTGATGAGCCTGTGATCCTCCAGCACTCCCATGCAGATCCCCATCCCTTCCCTACTCCTGACCCTATGCAGTTCCCCTTCTGTTCTTGGTCCTGGGCCATGCCTAGAGTTGGGGTGGAAGGGAGCACTTAGAGCTACTGCACTGCCACTCCCCAGCTATTCCAGTGATTCCCCTGCCGCAGGGCCCTTGTCTCCTCAGTCATCCCAATGATTCTCCCATCCAAGAGCCCTGCCCCACTCCCCTCCCAGCCATCCCCAAGGGACTGCCTGCAACTCCAGGCTTCATTGAAGTTAGTCAGGATAGGTCCAAGGTAGACAGAAGTCCATTAGGCAGAAAGATCCAAGGGACTTTCAGCTTCCTGTCTGTCCTCAAGACACGTTCTGTGCCTGAGCCCGAGCCCATTTCCTTTTTGCTTCCTTCTCGGAACTCTGACAACGGGCATGCCTCTGCTTTCAGGCCAGAATGCCCAGTTTGGGATAAACCAGCCCCTGAAAAGCTGGATTTGTAGAACAGATAGACTTGTAGACAAGTCTTTACTTTGTAAAAGGGAGTTCCCTAGGATTGCAACATCTCCTAGTGCATTTAAAATGAGATTCTGGGAATTCAAGTTACACACAGCTTTTCCAGACACAAAGGGATTGTGGATCTTAGAGCTGGAAGGGATCTAAGAGGTTGTGTTCGATTTTCTCATGGTAAATCGAGGTTCAGAGAAGGGTCACCTAGTGAAGCAGGGCACATCTAAATATCAAGTGCAAAATACGAACTTTTCCACTAGGATTTCCACTTTCCAGGTGGTTTTTATAGCTGGTCTCAGTGACCTCTCTGCCCAGCCATTCATACCTCTTCTTAGTACCTATCCACTTTTCCTGGGCTGGACACCCTCTCTCCTTTCCCTAATGCCCTTTGTGGTCTCTCCACAGTGTCCTTCATTGGTAGAGCTGAAATTTAGGCTCCTCAGACAGCCTGCATTGGGTCTCTCTCCAGGGCAATCAGGTTCCTTTCTCTCCATTACAAATATAAGGTATTGTATCATCAGCATTTTAGCACCAAGGCTATGTAACCTGTGAACTTGGCCTCCCTTGCGCCAAGCCAACACAAAGCCTTGTTTCTACTTCTCCTGGCACAGATATGCCCAGAGCCATAACTTGGTATCCTAACACCTGGGGCAAATTTAATTAAGAAGGGTGGAGAGGAGTGGCACAGGCTGTACCCAGGATAAACAATCTGACTTCCTGTACAGGGCTGCTTTGGAGGGAGGCGGCCCATTTCCTCTCCAGACCTCTACTGAACCATGACCCATGACTCTCATTCCTCCTTTGGGAGAAGCACCAGGTCAGTGGATTGCTTCAAGGTATAGGCATGGAGATTTCCTGACTATTGTAAGGAGGATGTGAGATTCCCTTCCACTTTCTCCCCTGCCCCCTCTCCACATCAACGTTTTGGTACAAAGCCATGGCTGCCCTAGGTATTGATATCTGGAGACTCAGGAGCCTAAAGAGACTGGGGCTGCCCTCCCCATACGTCCACATCTCCAATGTGAAATCCTTGTAGAATCCTTGCTTGTGGGTGAGGACAGGGCAGGTATTTCTGGTTCTTCCTTCATTAACTACCATCTAGTAGGTGGGAGGCTCCTCCCCTAGTGGCCCTAGGACTCTGTCCTCAAGCTTGTTCTAGTCAGCATTTTTGTCCCCGACTTTAACAAAAGTATGGCTAACTAATGCCTTTCAAAACTGTGCTGACACAAAGCCAGGAAAAATAGCTAATACACTGAATGACAGCATCTGGAAAAATCCTGGCAGACTAGAAAGACAGGTGAAATGTACAATTCTGAAATTTAGTGGCAAATGCAAAATCCTCCACTTGGTTAAAAAAATACACACACACACACATATATTTGCTGTACAAGTATAGAAAAAATATTTGGGAGTTTTATTGAACTGCACACTCAAGAAGTCTGTAGCATGTCCATTATAACCTAAAAAACAAATGGTATCCCAGACTGCATTCAGAAAAGCCTATCTTTCCAAACAAGGGCACTGACAGTCCCACTGGTTAGATCACATCTGGGGCAGTGTGTGCTGTTCTGGACTCCATATTTTAGAAAGAATATTGAGAAACTGGAGAGTTGCAAGTGGAGGTCAGACAGGAAGATGAAGGAACTGGAGGTCTCGATGAGGTTGTTGAGCCTGGAACTGAGATCACTGCATCCAAGTATTTGAAGAGCAATCTTGTGGGGGAAGAGTCTGTTCCCCTTGGCCCTACAGAGCAGAACTCAGCCCCGATTGTTGCAGGGACATCGATTTCAGTTCAGCCTAAAAACTTCCTGTCTCAGCTGCCCAAATAATGGGATGAGCTACCCCTTAGTAGGGAGTGAATTTCTTGTTACGAAGAATGTTCAGGCAAAGGCTGGATGACTTCTTGTCAGAGAGGTCACAGAGGCGGTTCCTGGATCAAACAGAAAGTTAGGCTAGATGCTCCCCTGAGTTCCTTCCAGCTCAGGGTTTCTACACCAAGTCAGTAATTTGCTAAGTCTATAAAACTCTTTATGAAAGGGTCACCCAGAACCCTCCTGGGCCGGGAGGTGGAGGCAGGACACAGAAGTCTCCTGGGATCCTGCCAGGCCAACTAAATGGAGCACCCACTGGGCTGTTTACTCTAATGGTTCCCTCCTGTGTTTGTGCATCTTCTTCCTTCTGTGGTCACATCGTAAACTCTGGAGACTTATTTATGTTGGAAGAGGAAGATGATTCCTTGCTGGTGCCGTAGGTTGAGACGCTGGCCTCTGCCGTGGCTTGGGCATTCTCCCAAATGAACTTCCCAAGGCACCGATACTCTCCTCTTGTTCTCATCCTCAAGTCTTGCCAAGAGCCAGCTCCCTGAGGTGGGGGGGCATCTGGCATCAGAGACATAATCTTTGTGTTGATACAGTATTTTATACTTTTCAAGGCACTTTATTAGGTGACATCTATTGGCCTATTTGAAACTCACAAGGGTCCTGTTAAGCTGGCTGGGCAAATAACATTACCCTCTTTTGACAGAGGAGACAATGAGGCCCAGAAACAGGGTATGGCTTGGTAGGGTCATGCAAGTTAGTGGTGGACTACAATTGAGTGGTCTTTCTGTCACACCATGCCCCAAATTGTGATGACTGCTGTGCAAGGCCTGACTCAGAGGGGTCCTTGGGTATCTTCCACCACTTCTGACCAATAGCGATGCAGAGAATGAAGCCACACCACTGTGCCCCACTACTCACAACTTATCCCTGCCTGGGTCCTCTTGTCACTACTCCTGAGATCACATCATGGACCATGCTTTGTGAGGGCCTTGAGCAGTCCAGCTCAGCCTCTCCTCCACTCATCTCATCTTGGTTCCTCCTGGCTCATTTTCTTCCCTCTTCCTCTCCAATGCCTGGATCCATACTAGGGTCTTGGGTCTCTACTCTGACCTCCTGAAAACCCTTAATCCTGTGTGGTCCCCTCTGGGATCCTCCTGAGCCCTGAAGATACTGGGGTATAACTGAGGAAGGGAACAGAGGAAGAGGCCCTAGGGGCAGAGGAAGGGGCAGGCCTCACTGGAGTGGGGGGCAGAGTTTGAGTTGGCCCCTGTCCTGACCCACTTGCCTTCCACTCCATCGGCCACACTTCCACCATAGTCTGTGTGTCTCCCCGGTCCTGGCCAAGGCTGAGGCCTCCATACTGGTGCCCGAGAGTCTGGGCTCCCATCACTCTAGACGGCATCGCAGCATTTCAGTGTCCGTCACATTTTAAAAATGATTAGCCTTTGTATAATGTTTTTTAAACCATTTCTAAATAAAATGAAAATATACAGATTGTCATTTCTTTGGAGAGAAGGGCAAGGGAGAGTCAAATGATACAATATCCTTGGGAAATGAATGCAGATGGGGAGGAATTGAAGGGTCTGGGGGTTGACAGCAGTGTTTTTGGAGCGCTGGGGATACTTGGGTGTTTGAGGACAAGAGAAACTTACTACCCCACAGTTAATGGGATGGGGAGGAAAGAAGGCTGTCCAAAGACTCCAGTCCATGACCACCTGTGATGACCTGGAGAGTTGTTTCTACACCCTCTAGAGGGGAGGAAAAACAAGGGTGGGTGGGGCTGAGACTGGGAAATGGGGGCATCATACTAAAAAGAATGCAATAACCAGATAGGCTGAGGGGGTCTCAGGGGAGACGTGGAGGACCGCTGCACTTTGCTGGAGGGGGGGGTCCTAGAAAGAGAGGAGGTTGGCCACCCCAAGGCGACTAAAAATTTCCAGGCAAAAGGGTTCTAGGGTTCAAAGAGTAAGTGGCAGGGAGGAGATAATAGGGCCGTCGGGCTGGGAAGGCAGGGAAGTGGTAGCGAGGTGACCTCCTCCCCCGAGAGCACGATGTGAAGAGGCGCAGAGAAAGCCGGGGGTCTCCGCGGGGGTGCCCATGGCAGGGGGCTCGGCAGGCGCGGCCCCAGCTCTGGCTCCCGAGTCGGCTCCGGGCTCCCGCTAGTACCAGGAGGTGCAGACGATGAGGAAGCGAACGTCGTCCAGGGGCCCCCAAGCACCGGGGTCCGGGCGGGGCCGGGGAGCCGGCTCGCCGCCCCCGGGAGCCGCGGGCTCGGGCTGCTCCGGGGCCGGGCCGGACGGACCTCCGCCGTCGCCCGTCCCGCCGCCGCTCAGCTGCGCTCCCATGGCTGTGGGGAGGCAAGGGGCAGCTCAGGGCGAGGACAGAACCCGCCCCCTCTACCCTCACCCTCACCCCATAACCCGGCTCGCCCCTTCTCCCACCTTCAACCGAGGTGACTCACACCGGACTTCCGAGCTACCGCTACCTGCGCCTGCGTGCTAGGGCTCCGAGGGCTTCTGGTCATTACATCAGGACGCATCGCTCGCAGCCAATCGTTAACGAGAATCTACAGACGCGCCCGTCAATTGCGGGGCGGGGCCATACGACTCACCTTAGCCCGCCTCCTCTTGGGTAGGTCTGGGGGCTAGAATCCGCAAGCCTTCCTTTCCATTGAGCTAACTCACGCTGGGGCACCCCACCCTGCCCCAAAGTGGCGTCTGTCTCTGTTATCTCCAGGAAAGTATCAGCCAGCACAGCTCCACGATTCCTCGGTGTTTTCTGCTCCTGCACAGCCCTCCCTTGCTCCACCGAGAAATGGGCGAGGCGAGGCTTCCAATCTGCCCCACATCCCACAAATCCCTGCATGTTGTATTCTGTTAGGTAGGCTTAAAAGTCCAGCTCTTCTGTGCATTTGTGGTCAAGTTTTAAGATCCGGTGAGGATAAAGAACCACAGTAGATTCACTACCCCAAATCTCCTGGCAGGGAGAGGAGGTTGGACTGACATAGATTGGGGTTGAAATGCCTTTAGAGACCAACCAGTGTGTCTACCATTTTTACAGTAAACTGAGGGAACAAAGGAAACAGACTCATCTAAGTTCATGAAATTAAGTGGCCAAGTTGAGACTAAAACTCTCTACTCCAAGGCACTTTCTCATCACTTCCAGATAGCTTTCCACACAAGTGAGGGGGGGAAATTACCCCATAATTGGGGAAGGGAACCTTCTCTAACAAGTGAGAAAATGTCATTGGTTCTAGTTTAATGTTGACCAAACCAAGAAAGTTAGAAATTTTAATGAAGTTCCGAGAGGTAGACCAAGAACAGTTGGTAAGAATGATCGAGCACCGGAAGCAAATGGGAGTTGAAGGAAAGGGCTCTTCTCACTGTGGTGTTAATAAAAAAAGTAAACGGGTGAAGATGTTGGGTTCAGGGTCAAGGGATACAGGTCCCTGTGGAAGTCACCTTTGTGGAATCCTGACTCAGAACTTCCTTGTAGCTCACCCCCCCCCCCAAGCTGCTGGTCCCTCAGAGGCCACACCTCCCACTGCAACTACTCTAATTCAGGCTCTTGCCTAAATTTTTATTTTTTAATCCATCCAAGCTGCCTAAGCAATCTTCTAAAGTGCTAATCTGATCATGTTGTTGCTCCATTCCAGTATGTTCAGGAGCAGCTACCCAATGCCCATTAAATGAACAATGCATGAACTCCCATTTCTGGCACTTGGAGCCTATCCCAACTTGGCTCTAACCCACCAGTTCCAACCTCACAAAAGTCCCAGAGTTAAATTCCATCAAAACTAGCCTCTGGTGCCAGTGATTTTCCTAAACCATAGGAGAATGTCATGGGGAGGGAGGTGGGGGAGAGACGAGAGGAGAGGACAAGAGGCAAAACTTGTGGTTCTCTATTACTTCTAGTATCAAATAGAAACTGTTTGCCATTTGACCATTTAAAGGCCTTCACAAACTGGCCGCTTTCTATCTTTTCTTTAGCACACTGCACTCTAGGAATTTTACCATCCAGATGAACTAACCTACTACCTACTTGCTGTTCTTCACACAGCACTGTGCCACCTCCAAGTACTGGTACTGGGTATCCTAAAGGCCTAAAATGCTGTCCTCATCTGAGCCTCCAAGTTTCCCCAGATGCCCCAAAGACTCAGCTCGAATCCCATCTTTTCTCAGGGGGCCTTTTCTGGTCCCACCAACTACTAGTATTTTCCCTCTGGGATTACCTTGCATTTACACTGTATATAGCTTGTATGTCCATTATCCCTTGAATGCTGTCTCTCCCATTTGAACATGAGAGCCTTAAAGGCAAGGTAAGTAAGGTGAATTTTAGTGTGTGTAAAGTGGATTTTTTGTTATTCTTTGAGTTTTTTTTTTAATTACTTTTATTTTTAGGCAATTGGGGTTAAGTGACTTGCCCAGGGTCACACAGCTATTAAGTGTCAAGTGTTTGGTTTGAGGCCATATTTGAACTCAGGTCCTCCTGACTTCAGGGCTGGTGCTGTATCTACTGCGCCACCTAGCTGCCCCTAAGTTTTCTTCCTAGGATCCATAATCTCTACCTCCCAGGTATTAGATATGAGTTCTCACAATCATGGCTCAAGACAGTTTCTATTGCACAGTCTTGGTAAATACAGGGATGATGTAATGTAAAATGATGAGGCTACTGCTGGCAATACGCCTTTTTTGTCTGTTGCCCCACAAAGCAAGTGGGCGCTGGTCAGTGACTGGGGACCCCCCTTGGGGTGAAAGCACAAGCTGGAATGCCGTGTGTGCCTTGATCGGCCCCCATCAAGGCTTGGGAGAGGGAGTCTGTATTTGCCTCAACTGACCCCCATTGAGGCTTGACGGGATTTAGGGGAGAACACAAAGTCTTGCTTCTCTCCACTGAGCCCATCGAGAGGGAGGAATAATTGCCCCACCTTCACACCGGCCCCTGTGAGAAGGGTTGTTAGGGAATGCTGTAGGAATTGGTGCTCCCATTATCAGCAAACTCCCTTTGAGAAGACTAGACTAGAATAAAGTAAGCTTATTTAACTCTTTATTATGACTCCATTCCTATCTTCCTGTCTGACCAGATCAAAAGCAAACCTGCTAGTGAGAAAAGTGCTAGAAGAAGCCTTCCTGTGTCTCCTACATAAGAAATATTTTTGTCTTTCCTCGTATATTCCAGCGCTTAATATAACAGGTTCTTAATAAAGAATGATTATTGACTTATTGGTCTACACTACTACCTGAAGTTCTTATCCTGGACTTAGCTCATACCATGGTTTAGAGTGGGCTCTGCCAAGTTATCTTCATCTGCTGATGTTTCTTCCATTAAGACCCAACCCAAATACTTTATCCATGGAGCCTTCCCTGAGACCACCAGAGACTTTTGATGACTTTTCTCATCAAATTTCTCAGAGCACTTTCTGGCTCTCTCATTTACACAATACAAATAATCATTTGTAAAACCTCTAAATCCCTTGAGAGCAGGGTCCAGAAGCAAGAGTCCTTCCTAGGAGCTACCCTTCTTCCCCAAGGCAAGAGTCCTTTTTAACAATTTTAGGCAGCCAGTATAAGAAAATATAGAACAAGGGACCCAAGTGCCTTTTAATGATGGAATAGGGCACAAGGACAGTGGAAATCAAAAAACCAAGGTGAACTCACTTAAGGGCTTTTTTTTTCTAACAAGTAAAAATGAAGTTATAGGAGATCAGTCTTGGAAGCTTTGTTATACTCCCACCAGCCACGATCCAGGTTCCAAAGTGCCGATGTTTAGAGATTCTGAAGGGCCTCACACCATACTGGAACTGGTACAGGAACCAAAGTCCTTATTCAAGAGGCCAAACAACAGAAGCAATAGGTAATCACTCAGGTTAAACTGGAAAAAAAAGAAAAAAGATCCATTACACCACTGCTCTTCAGCCAACCCCTAAACCCCTTCCCCTTACATGACAGCAGGGGATTGTTACCCTTCTTTGTCATGGACCCCTTTCTCAGAATAACATTTTTTGAAGAAAATGCTATAAAGACTAGTATTAAAGACTAGTAAAAATAAAGGTGTCATTTTGCTCCCTATCCAAATTCAAGGATACCCTGAATCTACCCAAGGAACTCAAGTTAAGAATCCCTCTTCTACAGGGACCCTTGGCCCTTCTGTGAGAATACCTTTAAATATCTGTCTCTCATCTGGGGCACAAAAGGAATTCTAGAAAGGGGCTATAAATGAACAAGTGTGCTCTTGCTTCTTGGATTGGCTGAATGCTTGGAAAACCAAGCTGTACCAGTTCCTGACCATTCACATCTGAGAAACTACAGTTGAGTTATTTTATCAATACAGGTAGGCTCTATGTTACAGAAGAGCTGGTTTCTTTGGTTTAACATACATCAATCCATAAAAACCTTCAAGGATACAGGAATCAGCTGGCCACAGCAGAATCACTAACCTGTCAATGAGAGAATCTCGCATCCTGGTGGCAATGGTGCTGGGTCGGGCTTCATTAAGCTTGAAGACGCTCTCTACCACTGACAGCTCTGTGCTAGTTGTGTCCAGCCCACAGAAAGCACACCAGTCGTTGACCACCATTCCAGCCGCAATCACCTCGCTTCCTCGGTTCACAGTACCAGCCTGCGAGAGAACCCAGTGTATACCAGAATGTCCCCCTCTTCAATGTTTTTACATGTGGATAGCAAGTCTCCAATCCTGGGGGCCCTAAGAGGCTGTCCTTGATCCTGGATGTCACCAATACTATGACTCTGCAGAGCAGTCCTTTCAGTCCTCACCTGGCATTTCTCATGAGCTCAAGGTCATAAAGATCCTTGTTCTTATTAAATGACTACCCCCAGACCTACACACATCTTCATTTATACTCCATAGCTCAAATTTGGTAAAACAGTACCCAGACTTAAAAAAAAACCAAACAAATCATTAATACAAAATCAGGGAAATCATTAAAAAGTGATAAATCACTAAAAATCCAGAGCTGGAAGCTCTGATAGGTTTCTTCTTCCCAGGGTGATGGGAGGAATACACAGAGCACCATGCAGCAGCCTCCATGCCCACTCCTTACACTCATAGCTGTTCTTGTCCCTGGCCAATCATAAAAAAGCAGCCAAGCCTAAAGTGACTAATGCACTCCTTGGTAAAAGGCAGGTGTTGGCTTGCTTTGCTTTTATGAGATGGAGTGGGAGACTCTGAACACCTTTGCCCCATTAGAATATAGGGTGATGACTCAACTCTTGAGGCATCAGGGTTAGCCCTGGCTAAACCTGCAAAAATTGGAACAAGTTGGGCCTGCGGGCAGAGGGAAAGGTACTCACCACCAGTGGAACCTGGAGAAGGGAGGACAATTCATCTTGGTCCTCAATGGAAGTCTTTGGGTGCACTAGCCCTCCCTGATTGCTGAAAACACAGTAGCTTCCCACCAGCACCTGGTCAGCCACTGTCTGTCTGAAGACTTCGACCTTGAGTACATCAGCTAGAATTTCTTCTGTCTCCTGTGAGTGGCAGACACACTGAGTTCAGAACCCTAGCTTATCAGAAGTGTGAAGAAATACCAGGCCTCCAATGTCTTAATGTTTATCAGTATCCACATTCCCACCCAAGGAAGAATGGAAGATTTAGCTGTATCTATACTGAGAAATGGGGATGAAGGGCAGAAGGGACCAATTTACTTCTCTGGAGTACCCACGTGGCTCCAGATCAGCAATCCTCAGCAGCTCTATTAAAGCTGCCTGGGGCTGATCACCACAGTCTCTATCCCCCCAAATGAGCCAGAACATTCAAAGAATCATAGATTTGGAGCTGAAAAGGATTCAAGAGGCTATCCAGTTCAACCCCCTTATCTTACAGGTAAAAAACTGAAGCTTAGAGAAGAATTTTCAAGTTCACATCGGTAGTAACAGAACTGAGATTTAAACCTAAGCTCTCTGACTAAAAAACCAAAATACTCTGCTGTACTGCGTCGATTCTTCAAAATAGATGTTAAAGGGTTAAGCATCCCACTTCCAAAAGCCCTGTTTTGGAATTAAGTTGTGGTTTTCCTCCAATTCAAATCATATGCAACTTTGGGATGCCAAATGACTGAAGCCCAAACAAGCTCAATGTCCTTTGTCTGCCTAGTCAGTCTCCCTATCTAGATAAGAAGTTTCTAGGAGACAAGGACCATATCCATCTAATCTTCACCATAACCCTGCACAGGAATCAGACTCAGAGAATTAAAGTTAGATGAGACCTTACAAACTACATAAGGTTCAATCTCCTTATTTTAAAAAGACTACATACATTACTTTATCCATACTGATGATATGACACGTTGATGTTTTCAGCACCCAAATGAGACACTCCTACCAGACTATCTAGGGATTAGGATGATATTGTGTCCGTGTGTCGACCTGACCCAACTGCCAAAACCTCCTCACCCTGTCCAGGTCGGGGTGAACAAGAGCTACATAGTCATTACAGGTGGTAACATTGCCCAGTGCTGAGAGTCGCTCCTCTACCCGTCGGATCTGCACTGAGTCAGGGAGACTGTTTCGAATGTGCTGTAGCTCTTGGTCTGTAGTATTGTTGGGCACAAGAAGGCCATGCCGGTTGCCTGGTGAGATCCAGAAGGAAAACAGCCACTAAGCTGGGGAGGGAGGAGACACAGAAGCAGCACCTCCCAAATTCTCTCTGTCGTTCATAAAGGGACACATTATCTCCTGACCTGGCTTCATAGGCCCGCACACCCTCCTTTTCCCTCTTTAATATTGAGGATGAGTGCACCATCTTAGCACCTAGCACAGAGATCTGAACATTGTAAGTAATTAGTTTTTAATTAATTCAACCAACGAATATGGGTTCTCATACCCATCTGGGTGCCAAATGTCCTGGCAAAAAATCAAAATGGGCACTGTCCACACAGCTGTGTTAATGATAAAATTATTTCATTCTAAGGTCCAAATCTGCTCTCTCAGATTCCTACCCATTTTAGGCTCAAGGGAAGAAAGTGTGTAAGGCTAGCAGATAATACACTCAAACATTATCCCTGACTGCAGCACCAACTGCAAATACAACTTTGAATGGAAATCCTCTGACTCTGAAAGCCTCGAAGGGTTGGGAGCAAAACTAACACCACCACTCAATGCAATGAAAATCAAAAGGGCCTGAGATGACGTCACTAGGGCGTGGGGACCTCTGAGTAACAACGCCTTCATACCACCACCCTGGTATTCCCTCCACTCTTCCCAGCCCTTTTGGACCAGACATACCCACACACATGCGACCAATGATCCTGCAGCCGGCGATGGAAGCGTGTACCACTGGAATGGTCTCGGAAAGCTCGCCCTCAAACACACTGCGAACACACAGTCAGCCCACAGGTCACTGAGTGACACCCCAGAAGGGCCCATGGTGACTCTTCTCTGGGGCTGCTGGGCTTCCTCCTCCCCCCTCCCTCCCAGGTCAGTCACACCCCTCCTGAACCTCTGGACCTTAGTTTCGGAGCTCAAAGAGATCTTATTTACAGAAACTCAAGCCTCCTTCTAAAGCTCCCTCTCCAATGCCTTTTGAAATTCTTGACACCAGCTGTGAGGGAGGCTGAACGAAGACAGCCACCCCCATGGTAAATATGGGGAAACTGAGGCCCAGGGCGGGTACGGGATTCGCTTGGAGTCACAGAATCCCGAGAGAGGCAAGCCTCCCCCTCCCGGCCCCCTGGGGCCCCACCTGTAGAAGTTCTCCGAGCCGCCGATGGCCACCAGGCAGTAGGTGTTGGTGAGCTTGGCGAAGCAGCCGACCTCGCAGTTGTTCTCGAAGGAGGCTCGGACCGCCATGACGCCTAGGGACGGCGGGTCAAGGGGGTCAGGAAGTTGCGGCTCCCTCGGGATCCCCCCTCCCCGACCCCGAGGCCGTACCCAACACCCGCCTTCCTCCGAGGCTGGCTGAGCTCGGCCCCTCCGGCCTCGGCCCGACAGCACAATCGATCCCCGGCTCCCCTCTCCTCCTCCCCCGACTCTGGCCCCTCGGGGCCCGCCGCCGAGCCAGCTCACCGGGCAAAGGCTATCGCACGAGGCGCTCTCGTATGTCGCTTCCGTTTCCGCTCCTGAACTAAAAGACTTCCGGGACGAAGGCCCCTATGGGGCTGCTCTGGCCCGGGACCCTGGGACCCCTTTGGTGGGTGGTTCCCAATCTTCTGCGGGCCGGGACTGGGGGGAGGGCGACCTCCTGGGCTCAGTGACCGTTCCTTACTCCAATCCACTCCGGTCACTTCTGCTGGAGCCCCGCCCCTTCCGGAACTTCACGTCACTCTGCTCCGCCTCTTCCTCAGCCATCACGCCCCACGCCTTCCATCCCTCCCAGCCCCGCTCACTGCCTCCTTGGATTCTCGCCCTCGCCCCCTTTCTCCACTAACCCTCCCCCAGCTCATCTTTGAAATGAAAACCTTGCAGTCTTCTCCCCAGGTTGGCCTGGAAGGAGCTGAGTCCCCAGCCCCAGATTCCCACAGGTCACGCCAGTCGAGTGTTGGTCAGGGACGCTTAAGTTTATTTGTGTTAATTTTCCACTGTGACTGGACATTGATGTGGCCCAGGGAAAGGGTTGTCCCATGTGACCCCGGGGGAGGGGGTTTGCACGTATTGTGTGCTTGTCCGGTCGACCGACTTGTTGGTGCATCCCTGTTCTGGACGTCTCCTTGGCTTTGGGTACCTTCCCCTATCTTGGGGGACTGTTCTAGTCCTCCTCTTCTCTCCCTTTCCTGGTTCCTCCCTTCCTTCTAGTAGCAGCCCCAGGAGCCAGGCAGGACAAATCTGGCAATTTGCTTTCCAGACTCCATCCTGCAGAACAGGTGTCCTCACCTGTTTCTGGGTCAGGGACCTCAGAGGTTAAGGAAGCCTCATTCAGATAGGACCATATTAATGATAGAGAGCTCATTACCTTAGTTGTGATAATCCTATCCACAACCTTTGCTTCCCCCCCCCACCCCCACACCTGGAACATAGTTAATATGCACAAAGTCAGGGAGCAATCAGTAAATACTGGTTGATCTGTGAGTGTGTTGAGGTCACAAATCAGGTTCGTTATGGTGGGAAGTCAGATGGGTGGGGTTCAGTGAGGTTGAATATCAGTGGATAAATACAGTCCATAGTGGGGTGGAGATGGGGAGCAGGGTCAGTAGGTCAGAAATGAGGTTGTAGTTAGTGGCGTTGGGATCAGTAGGTTGGAATTTTAGGTGAAGAGGTTAAGTGTCAGGGACATTAGGCATCAGTAGGGTTGAGGGAGCAGTAGCCTTGGCCCCTGGTGACACTTGCCTCTGGTTCTAACCCTTGTGTCTGTGACAGGTCAGACCAGCAATGAACTAGGACCAGTCACAGGTGTTTCCTATAGATCCTGGGTCTAAGAGGCAGGCAAAGGGGTCTTAGGTCTCAAAGCGGCTTCGAATCAGTCTGAACTTGGATTTGTTATATTTAGTGATGAGATCCAGCTTGCTGTGACCCAAAGTCAGACATTTCTCATCCCCAGGAGTATGATTCTGGGAACCAGCAGGGATGCAGGATGCTTGAGGACCAGGAACACTGGAGACACTGGGCTCCTGTGGGTTAGGGACAGTAGGTACACCAGAAACAACAGATTCCCGTGGGCTAGAAACACTACGGATGCCAGGGACACCTGGGTCTGGGCTCCTTTTTATCCCCTGTAGCCTGTGATATTTAGTGATGAGGTCTAACTTGCTGTGGCCCAGGGTCAGCCGCTTCTCATCTTCAGAGGCCACCTTGGCTCTGCCCATGGAATCTGGGGTAGAGGTCCTAACTGGCCCTGTCCCCTCCATCCGGAATGGACCATATTTAGCCACAAGGTCCAGCTGGCCCAGAGTTGGTCGCCTCTGATCCACAGACTGCTCCCTGACCTTGGCATGGTCCCCAGAGCCTGGATTCCCAGAACCAGGTGTCTGAGAACCCTTGGGGAGGAGGTCCAGTCGTCCATAGTTATGGCTGGGAGGGGATGGCTTCCTCTCCTGTAGTGGCTTCTGACTCACTTCTGGGGCTAATGTAGGCATTCCACAGAGGCCCCTGGGTAGGCTGGGCTCCTGGCTATGGGCAAGCCCATTCTCTGGAAGTCGAGGAAGGGGCACAAGGTGGAGCTGGCGAGAAATCAGAGGGTTCCCTAGCCCTGGTCCCGTTACTGGTCCTACCCCCAGCCCAAACCCCAACCCTAGTCCTTCCTGATTGAGGGCTGGCGATGACTGAGCCCAAGGAGCTGTCCCCAGTGTGCCTAAGCTGGGTCGATAAGCTATAGTTGGGTTGTGGTTGGGGTCTGATAATCGCCGGTGCAAGGGAAAGGGGCCACTGGCTTGGTGACAGCCAGAACCAGGGGAACCGGAAGCCACAAGACCATTGAAGCCAATGCCGCCACCACCTCCAGGCAGCCCACAGTAGGAAGAGCTTGTAAGGGGGGAACATTTGACACTGCCAAGGCTAGGGCCAATTGGTGAGGTAGATGGTGAACTAGGGAGGCCTGACTCAAAAGCCAGAGGAGGTGGGGGTGGGCGGGGAGCCCGAGGAGTCAAGACATCTTCCTCCCCGCCAGAAAAGCCCTCCACAGCCTGAGACTCAGCAAACATGCAGCGGAACTCTCGGTCGAAGTCCTCAACAATTCGGCCCCGAAGCTGCAGCACGAGGCTGGTGTGAACCTGGCTGCAGAGCCATGTGAAGCTAGGAGGGGCAGAGAGAGCAGGGGGTTAGCAATCCAAAGGTGGGCTGGTGAGAGGGACCCACTAGGGGCAGGAGGACAGCACAGGGCAGGGGGCAGAGCTCTGTGCACGGGGTCTGGAGCCTTTTACTCCAGCCCTAGATCTGCTGTGGACTCCGTGTGATCTTAGCCACATCCTTTCCCTGCCTAGGTTTTCCCCTCTGTAAAATGGGGATTAGACCATCAGTGTTCTCGAAACCTTTTGCAGCTCCATCTGATGAGTATGCAGAAGAGATCATATAGGCAAAAGGTGGGACTTCCCCTCCCCAGGTCACTCCTTATTCCCTGTTCCTTCCATCATACCTGTAGCTCCCAGCCACCACCTGCTCACAGTCAATGATGACAAATTTTTCTAGTGCCTGCCCTGTGAAGCGTCGTCCTGCCTTGCTGCAGTAGGTGTCCCCAGAAATGCTCCGCACACGCATGTTCTAGAATTCAGGAGGAGAGGCAGCGTCAGGAGGCACTTTTCTGGCCTCGAAGACTTTTTCTGCCAACCCTAGATCCTGACCCACCCAGGGTCAACTCAATTAAATTAATTTCATTTCAACAAAAATTTGTCAAACACTTACAATGTATGAGGAAGGCACTACGCATACTCTTAAGGGGCTTATATTTTACAGGGAGATTAACACATGAATGCAATAGGTGTAATATACAGTAGAGAATGAAGAGGGTCAAGGAGAGATCAGAGAACTCTAGGTATAACAGAGGTGGGCTAGAGCACTAGGAGGATCAGGAAAGGCTTCAAAGAGAAGGTGGCTTGTGATGTGAGCCTCGAAGGAGGACAAGGATTCTGAAAGGTAGAGGTGAAGGAGCCTATTTGAAGTACAGGAGATAGCTTGAGCAAATGGCACCAACTTGAATAACCTTGGAATTGTTGTCCTTGATCTTCATCTCTAGGTCAACTAAGCCTGCTACTACTTACTGAAAAGTGGGGTCCCTGCTGCTACTTATCCTTGACCTGACCCTGACCCTGCTGATCCAACACCTCGCTGATCCCAGTCTGGTATCTCTGGCCCTACTGACTCTACCCGTGTCCACTGACCGGCAGGTGGCCCCCAGTGAGATCCATCTTGTAGCACATCTCCAGGAAGTGGTGCAAGCTGTCCTGAGCCAGCAGCAGGTAAACAGGCACAGCCCGACGTCCTGAAGCCTCCATCAAATCACAGAGCAGCTCCATGTCTGTGAACACATCCATTACCACAGCCACAACCTGGAGGGGGAAGGGAATAGGGTCCAAGCAATGGAAGCCAAGATACTTGGGGTCTGGACTCAGCTCTGCCCCTCATTCAATGTGTAACCTGAGGCAAGTCTTTCTCCCCCTCTGAGTCTCAGTTTTCACATCTGTACAATTTTTAGAGGGTTGGACTTGATAGGCTATATGATCACAAAAGGCAGGAGGGAGATCTTTGGATCTCTAAGGACTCTTCCAGTTCTAAAACCCTGTCTAGCTCGCCCTGACCCCAGCCCCACAGTCTCCGCCTCTCGGGATTCAGGACTTTCTGAGCACCTGTGGATGGCCCCTTGGATAGTAGCTCCTTAATTCTTCCTTCCCCTTCCACCAGGACTAGAGAAATGAACTTAGGGTCTAATCTTACAGATAGGAAGACTGGAACCCAGAGCTGGAGAGGTTGCACAATGAGTTAAGGATCAAACTAATACTTGAACCAATGTCTTCCGACTTTGTCTCTGACAGGATATGTAGCAGGGGAGAACCACAGATTCTAGGTTAGAGATTGGCTTCTAAGTAGTGAAAGCTAGGGGAGGAACCAAAGATCAAAGCAGTTGGGACAGAGTTAATGATCCTATTAGATGCTATACTGGGGCCACCCATGCCCCAGGGCGGCACAAGAAACCTGTCCAGGAAAGTTGAGGGTGAAAGAAGGAATCCAAGACCCAAAGTGCCCTATTAGGGAAAGGAGAGCCTTAGAGGGACAGGACAGGTTTTGCCTCTCCTTCCCTGGGTCCTGGTCTGACTTCTGATCTCTGAGCCTGCCCTTCCCTCTCATGAAATTGCAGTTCATTAGTTAGTGAGCCTAACTAATGGTAAGGTAAGACCTGACCTGACCACTCTCTAACATCAATGAATCCAGTTATCCAAATGATCTCTGTCTTCTAGGCCTGTCCTCCAGGGGGCCCACAGGGTTGTACCACTGAATTCTAATAATAGTGAAGGACAGGGTCTTCCCAAGTGTTCTCCCTTCCCCCAGGAGAAACAGGACCAGAGAAAGGTAGTGGGAGGTCTAAGTATCTTAGTATGGATATGTTGGGAGTGGGGGGTGGGGTGGGAAGAGAAACAGATGGAATCTCTCCTCAATCCTTAACAGCCCTAATGTTCTCTCTAGGAAGCCCTCCTCACTTCTTTTACTTCCTGGGCTGGTGCCTACTATAAGTCCCACAGAATTTGTAACCTAGATCCAAAACTTACCTCGCCTCACTCCCTGGCTCAGTCCTACCCACTCAGCCCCCACCCCTTGGTCTCCTGCCCTATCAACCAGTCAAGTACCCCCTACCATCCAGTCTTGTACCGTGCGAGCTTGGCTGAAGAGGAAGCGCAGTAAGTCTTTGATGTTCTTGGCTTTGTCTCTTTGGAAGTGGACAACAGCTTGTGTGGGGCTGAAGCCTGTGGCCTGGGGTACCTCAGGCCAACCCAGGTCCAGGGCAGGTGGTTCAGCATCTGTTGCTGCTGGGAAATAGGTGCCAGACGTGGCCTGAGAGATGAAGCTGAGCCGGTCAGTGGTGCCAGAGGTCTGGGGGCCTGCCTTGCCATCTTTATCTCCACTCTCACCACTATCCCCAATCTCAGGGCCTCCACGAACATGTTGGGTCATGTAGTTAAGGTCTAGGGCAGAAAGGAAGGGCAGCTCACGCTCCTCAGCAATGACTCGAAGATAGGCGGCCTCACCATGTTCCAGGAGGGCATCGGCAGCCAGCCGGGCAGCTTCACTGTGCTTCAGGACCAGGGGTAGGGCCTCTCTCCACCAGGGCCGTTTGAGTTCCTCTACTCGGCCCCGAAGGGCTCCCGGGCCCCCAAACATGATCGTGAGAACCACTCCCTGAACCCCTACCTATCCAAATTGCACGCTTAGCCCCAAGGCCCCAGCCTTGGGTTTTGGCCTCCCCATGGCCAATGCTTCCTTGCTCTTGCTGGATGACCACAGGGAAAGATGTGAAGAGGTAAGAGTCTTGGCCTCACCCTCACTCTGGGGGAGCCAGGCCCATGCCGCCACCCTAAGTCTGTGCCAGGCTCCTCCCTCATTGCCCCCAGGCCACTTTGAGGGAACCTGTCAGATCAGCCCCACCCGCTGCTGTCAGGACTCGCCCAAACCCCACTGAGCGGATTGTGGAGGGCTAGTGGCTCCTCCTTGGGCCTTACCAAGCATAGGCACCAGTCTCTGAGCACCTATTATGTCCCCTATTTCATGGCCCAGATGACCCCACCTAATGCCTAGGGCTTGCACGTGGACACATACATACTGACATGTGTAAACACTGACACATCTAGACACATAGGGACACCGCCTATTGAGTGATGCTCTTTTCCCTCTTCTCCCTCTCTCCTTGCTCAGCTCTGAACTTGGTTGTTTCTAGCATAGCCAGAGCCCTAGGGCAAGAAACCTCGATAGGATCAGACCTCTAATCCCCAGGCAACTCCTTATTCCTTTTTTTTTTTTTAATTTTTAAAAATTTTTTTGCTTTTTGGTGAGGCGATCAGGATATAGAACACCAGCCCTGGAGTCAGGAGGACTTGAGTTTATTTATTTATTTATTTAGGCAATTGGGGTTAAGTGACTTGCCTAGGGCTACACGGCTAGTAAGTGTTAAGTGTCTGAGGCTGTATTTGAACTCGTCTTCCTGACTACAAGGCCAGAGCTCTATTCACTGCGCCACCTAGCTGCCCCTGTTAACTCCTTATTCTTCTAGTGTTAGACCAGCCTCCTTCTAGGCCCAGCTTGGGACAGGGCCTCCCTGGGGCTGGGAAGGGGGCTATAGTATGGAATTTTTGGTTCCTTACCAGGTTCAGACTGTGCCTGTCTTTGGGGGCTCTCCTGCCCAGACTTTGCTCCAGTTTAAAAGATATTTACCTCTGGGGCCCAAGGAAGGTGGAAAGCAGTGAACAGAGGCATAGATCTGGCCTTGGCAGGGATAGAATGGGGCTCTAGGGACACAAGGATATTTGCATGGAGCCAAAATCCTGGGAAAACTTGATAGGGTTACTCTCCTTGTTGTACACAGCCATGGGATCTGAAGCCCAGGAGGAAAAGAGACCTGTTCACAGTCATACAGTGAGAGAATCCAAGTCTCCTGAATTTATGCCCAGAATTTTTCCTTTGCACCTGTTGCCTCTCAAGCCTGACTGGGCAGAGTGGAGGGGGGTTGGGGGGTTGTTGTGGGCAGGGAGCTGAGTAAACAGAGTCAGACTTTGTGGGAGGTAATGAGGTACCTGTTGGGGCAGCTGAGATAGCAGGGGCTTCATTAGGCCCTTATCTCACAATCTCAGCATTTGGAGGGGGTAGAGGGAGGAGTTGACTGAGGGTGACTCGTGGATATGTACTAGTGCCTGCATTATGCCCTTCTCTGAGTATATGTGTAGTACTATCTATATCCTTGTTTCTACCTGTATTGGCATAAAATATATGTATACGTATATCTGTGTTTCAGCCTATAGGAGTGTGTAAGCATGTTCCACTAATAACATGACTGGGTATATATGTACCTGTAGGTAAACATGTGGGTAATGCATGTGTGTATCAGTGTGATTATGTGTGCATTTCTGGCAACCACTCCAGTATCTTTGCCAAGAAGACCCTGAATGGGGTCACAAAGAGTTGGATACAACTGAAACAACTGAACAACCACAAATCTGGGTCTCATTGCTTCATGTATCCCCAGCATGTCTCTGGAGAGATCTCTGACAAGGGTCCTGGTCTAGTGATATCAGACATAGGGCCATATTGAGAATCAGAACACTTGGTTTCGAATCCTGGTTCTGCCCTCATTACCTGTGTGACCTTTGTCAAATCACTTAAACTCTCTGGGCCTGTTTCCTCACTTGTAAGAGATGGAGGTCAGACTGGATGACCTCTAAGGTCCCTTCTAGCTTTAAATTCTTGATCTCATATAACTTATTTGTACTGATCACTTCCTCTTCCCCTCTTTTCCCAGTTTATAAAAGGCCCTAGTTAGGTTAGAGACAAGGAGTACTTCTCAGCCTGTGATAGTGGTGGTGGTGCTAGTGGGTAGGTGGTGCTCAGAAGCAAAGGGGCTAGTGCCTCACAGGGTGCAGAGAGAGAAATACTGTATCCTCAATAACCCCCAATTGAGTGCAAGAACTTACCCTTCCCTTTTTTCTCCCTGAATATTTTGAGCTGATGCTCCTCTTCCAGTAAGGTCTCTTGCCTCTCACCCTCCCAACTACCTGTTAGGGCAGAGTTAGACTGGAACACTCATTCACTGCATAAGAACAAAGAAGACGACTTTTTTTCTGATAGAACATGTCATCCCTCTAGGGCCTAACACAAGTGTCTGCACATATCAAAAGCTGCCTAAGCAGTTCATAAAATTCTAGAATTTCAAACCAGAAAGAAGCTTGGAGGGCACCTAGCCCCCTCTGCCATACCCCCAACAAGTGGTCATTCAGCTTCTGTTTGTTGAATGAATGGACATTTCCTGGGAGCCTATGTGCCAGGCCTGGTGTTGTGGACTACAGGGGAAAAAAAGATAAATGAAACTCATCCCTGGCTTCAAAGATGTCTCCACAGTAAGTAAAGAATGTATAGATTAGATGCAAAATAGTCACCCAGGAGCAAAGAGTGAGTAAAGTTAGCAGTTATTGACTGAAGTCCTAGAATTAAGTTGGGGCTGCTTTTCCCTGAGGTAATGGGAGAGAAAGGTAAGAGGGCACTAACTGGGAAGGCCAGGTCCAACTCAGAGCCATGAGGGTAGAGAATGAAGTGTCTGTGCGTGTAGAGTTTTTGGCCTGAGCTATAGGCCTCCCTGGGGAAACATGTTGGGTACAGGACTCTTAATGACTATTATTAACAAAAAAGAAAACATGTTTCCTGGTACAGTGGTGCGTCAGGCGCCAAGTTGGCATCAATCTCTGGACACAGAGGCCACTTATCACTGTCTACTGTCTCCACTGGCCTTTAAGTGGTACCTTGGCAGGTGATTTACCATCATTTGAGGATGGTCCCTGGGCCAAGAGGACACTTGGGGCCAAAGGTTTCAAGTCCCATCAGGACTAATAATAACAACTATAGCTGAATTTCTATAGGGCACTCTGAGGATCACAAACTGCTTTGTGAACAAACACTCTCTCATTCTAATGGAGGAGACAACATGAAAACAACTACATATAAACTAGCTATAGACAAGATGGAGATAATCCACAGAGGGAAGGCACTAGAATTAAGGGGGATTGGGAAGGGTTTCCTGTAGAAGGTGGGATATTAGCTGGGCCTTGAAGGAAGCCAGGAGGCAGAGATGAGGAGAAAGAGCATCTCAGGTAAAGGGGGCAGCCAATGAGCATACACACTGATTTGGGAAACAGAGTGTTTGAGTGAGGAACAGCAAGGAAGCCAGTGTCACTGAATTGAAGGGTATGTGGAGGGTACGAAGTATGAGAAGACTGGAAATCTATGAAGGGGCCAGGCTATGAAAGGTTTTAAAAGCCACACAAAGGATTTTATATTCAATGCTGGAGGTAACAGACAGCCATTAGAGTGGATTGAATAAAGGTGGGGGAGGTGACACTGTCAGTCCTACATTTTAAGATCACTTTGACAGCAAAGTAGAGGATAAACTGGAGTAGGGAGAGACGTGGTAGGGAGACCCACCAGCAGAATACAGGCCTGCATCAGGCTGGTGGCAGTGTCAGAAGAGAGAAGGGGGCACGGGTGAGAGATGTTATAAAGGTAAAATCAACAGTTGTTCGCAATAGATTGGATATAAGGGGTGAGAGAGTAAGGAGTCAAGATGACAGCTTGGTTGTGACCCTGGGTGACTAAGAAGTTAGTGGTGTCTTCCACAGTAATAGCGAAATCAGGAAGAAGAGGTTTTCTGGGGGGTTGGGATGGGGAAGATAATGAAGCTGCGATTCAAACCCAGGCCCCAGGATCTTGGAATTGCAATTGGAAAGGATCCTTTGGGATCATCAGTCTTGGCTCAAATCCCACCTTTTGGCACTGACCAGCTCTTAATCTTGTTTCCTCATCTCTAAAACGGAGATAGCGTCACTCTGGTGACCACTTTCAGAGGGCTATTGTGAGGCTGAAATGGAAAATGTCTATTTGCAAGTTTTAAAGTGCTGTACAAATATCAGTTATTTCTATTATCCTGAAGATCATAAATAGGCATAGCAAGGGGATCTTTCCTAAAATCTGTCTCCCCCAAAACTAGTCATTGTGCTCTACACATGGTATATGCTTAAATGTTTGCTGAATGTGAGTCAGTGAATGAATGGAATGAAAAATGACACACAGATTTCTGGAGGTATCCGGCTGGCCGCTACCAGACCCTGCTAATGAAATTAGGCATGGTACCAGCACCTCATATTTCCCATCTCTTCCCATACTTCCCTGCCTGCCCAGACAGATGAGGACTGGAAGGCTGATATACCCCTTCTGAAAGCATGGTGATTAATTTAGGCATTTTCAAGGCAGGGATGCTATCTCTTCTCTTCCTTGTTCTCTTCCCATCTTGTCTGCTAATTCAAGGCTGCCAACTCTGGAGATCCTGTGATGGGAAGGCTACACTCCTTTGGCCCCCAGCCTTCTTTGAAGATGCTTCTACCTAGGGAAGGGATCCACCAAGGAGAGTGAGGGAAGGACACATGTTCCTAAGAGGGGTGCAGGAGTGGGTTCCTCAGGGTCCTGCCGCACGTGAGGGGGCCCAGCTTGGGCAAGTCATTTCTCTTTTCTGGACCTCAATTTCCTTGTCTATAAAATGAGAATATCTACAAACAATACCTTACAGGTACAGGGAAAGAAAATGTAAACTACTGCTATGATAACTTTGCTATAGGGCTTTTTGGTCATGCCATCATCTCACTGGATCCTCACCATAGCTCTGCAGGGGTAGGTACTTCTAAGTCACCACAAAGCTGAGACAGCATAGTCTATCAGAGGCAAGTTCCTTCCCTCTTCTGTGCCTTAGTTTCCACATCTATAAAACGGAGATTATGATCAG